TACTGCCTGGGAAACATGAGGAGGGGTTGCTATGAGTCAGGGCTGACTTGACAGCAGGTAACAACAACAACAAAGAAGAGCTCTGGTGACATAGTAGTTAAAACATTCAGCTGCTAACCAAAAATGTTGGTGGTTCAAACCCAGCAGCTACTCTGTGGGAGAAAGGTGAGGCAGTCTGTTTCCATAAGGATTCACAGCCTTGGAAAAAACCCTTTGTGGAAGTTCTTCTCTGCCCTGTAGGTTCACTATGAGCCAGCATGGACTTGATAGCAGGGTACTCCACCCAAACACAAAAAGCAGCCACTTGAAGATCTGAGGTTTGAAAAGCATTCAATGTAGGAGAAATAGCCACCACCTACAACAATTTTAAAAAGACCACGAAATGGAGAGATTCCAGCAACTTTCCCATTTAGAATCCTAATATTTGATTTTTTCTTAGTTAAGTTTGTGTGTCAACTTGCCTGGGCCTGGTTGAGTGGCTGGGTAGCTGGATGTAATATTCCCCATGATGAAACTGGTAATCAACTCCATGGTGGAATCTACTGTGAGCAGCTGAGTAGCTACCTTAGGGAAGTGGTCTGCTTCTTGTATATAAGGAGAAGCCTTGGGGGATGGTCTCTAGCTTATGGTATGTTTGAACTCTGCATGTAGCCATGTCATTGTTCAGAAGCCTGCCATGCTCTGCTGACCTTGGGGCTTTCAATGGACTTGAATTAACGGCCTGCCATGTGATTTGGTAACATCAAAACTGCCATTTTACTTGTCAACCTTGGGCTTGGCAGCCTCAACAGCCAGTAGCTGTCTGAGTGAAGAAAAGCCTCTAGCTCCAGTGGGCCAGGAGCAGGAGGCAGAACTGAAGCCCAAGGTTGAGGGGCTTTCACCCAGCGCCTAGAGCCTGGCACTTTGAACTCAGACTTAAAGCCTCCAAATTTTAAGAAAAAACTCCAGTTTGTTAAAGCCATTCCATTTTTGGTATATTCTGTCAGAGCAGCACTGTTGTTGCTGTTGTTAGGTGCCATCGAGTTGTTTCCAGCTCATAATGACCCCATGCACAGCAAAATGAAACACTGCCCGATCCCACGCCAGCTCCTTGATCCTTGCTATACTTGAGCCCATTGTCGCAGCCCTGTCAATCCATCTCATTGAAGGCCTTCCCCTCTTTTGTCGACCTTCCACCTTACCAAGCATGATATCCTTCTCCAGGGAATGGTCCCTTCTGACAACATGACCAAAGTAGGTGAGAGGAAGTCTGGCCATTCTCGCTTCCAGTGAGCATTTCGGCTGCACTTCCTCCAGGACAGACCTGTTGGTTCTTTTAGCAGTCCACGGTACTTTCAGCATTCTTTGCCAGCACAACTCAAAAGCATCAACTCTTCTTCGGTCTTCCTTATTCATTGTCCAGCTCTCACATGCATACGAAGCGATTGGAAATATCATGGCTTGTGTCAGGTGCACCTTAGGAGTCAGCCTCAGGGATCCCGGTGAGGAGAGGGTAGCCAGGCCACCCCCACAAACAGCAAGGCGGGAGAGCAGGAAAAGGACAGAAAAGGCCAAGGGGACTGGGTCAGAATGAATAGTCAGCCACAGGAATCCAGGTAAGGGTGGTTGGAGAGGTTTCCAACAGCTAAGGGAGACACCAGAGCTCCTTGTAAAAAGTAAACAATGACATTGGAATATTTGGTGTATGGTGATGTTTAGCAAGTTTAGTTTTTGATAGTATCTCTCAAAATAGTAATTTGAAGTTTAAAATTGATTTTTTTTTTCATTGTGGTAAGTACATGTATAATAAAGTGTTTCCGAATTCAATACTCTTGACATGTACAATTCTGTGACATTAATTTATGTTCATCATGTTGTTCAACCATCATCCTTATTCATTCCCACATTTTTCCATCACCCTTAACCAAAGCTCAGATTTTTAAAAAAGAATTTAAATATCTAGTATGTTTTTAGGAGCTCTGGTAGCATAGTGCCAAGGCACTTGACTGCTAACCAGGAGGCTGGCGGTTCAAACCCACCAGCCACTCCTCGGAAGGAAGGTTGGGCAATCCTACTTCCATAGTGATAACTGCCTCGGAAACCCAAGGAGGGGTCGCTAGGAGTCGGGGCCGACTCGATGGCGAATAACAACAACAACAAAGTATGTTTTTGGCTAGGTATAATAATATAAATAAATATATCTTGGTTTTGCCACGTTACCTCTGTAACTTAGACAATTTAATTAATTCTTTTGTTTTCTCAAGATGAAGACAATAGCTTGTGACTTTCTTGAAAAATTATCATGAGGATTAATTTAGTTGCTGTACATAAAGTAGTGTCTTACAGTATTAAGTGTTACATATTTGTTAGCTATTATTGCTGCAATTGTTATTAGATGTAAGTATTGCTCTATTTTTTCCTTTAGGAATTAATGACCAAATTAATAACTGAGACACCTGACCAGCCAATCCCATTTCTTATTGATCATCTTCAGTCTAAACAGGGAAATCGTGGACAACTTCAAAGAACTTTGTCTGGTTCTGCAGCTCTCTGGGCAGAAAGTGAAACATCAGGTAAATTTAAAGTATATGTTGGAATTAATTCTGAAATAAAAGACTATTATAAATTTAATGTAAAATGTATAAAAGTCTTTCTAATGATAAATCTCAATGGATAGCTACTACCTAGAGTTTTCATGTGTTTATCTGTGATTTCAACCCTTTGCTGAAGTTTGTCAATATATTCTTGCACTTGAATAGTTTGTTACACACTGTGCTTCAAAACACTAGAATATGTGGTTTCCATTTTAACAGAAGTAATATGTGGATATGCATGAGAAGATTTCAGTCTGTGTAAATTTAAATTAATTATTCCAACCTTTTATTATTTTCTTTTAATGAAGACTTTAAATGTTTGTCTGTATAGAAAGATCAAAAATAGATTTCTATAAAGTTACCTCTCTTGGTGTCCAAACTAATGAGCATCTATAAGTAAGTTCAGTTTTATGAAGATCCATTTGCTCTGGAGACTGGGAACCACCTTTTCTCTGTTTGCAGTAACCTCATCTTCCCACTAAAACACTGGAGAGATAATTGGATAGAGTCAACTTTGGCCTTTGCTTCTAAGATGTCTGTCCCAGGACGCTCTTTCTTTCTTTTTTGTTTTCCCATGCACTAGTGTGTTGGTTTTGACATTTACTTTCAAACCCAGATCTCTACCTGCTTGCTGTTTGGGTGACCACCTCCTCCCTTATTCCCATGGAGATCTAACTGAATGAACTCCAGATACTTTTCTGTCATGACAATATCATTATTCTTCTCTTCTTGGTGCAGTGTGAGATCCCATGAAAGGATGTTGGTCTTCATAATCTTAGAATGTGGTATTCTTATATATTGCCTTCTTGGGACCATGAGACAAGGCGACACTATAATGAGTAGGGTAGAAATCTCTGGTGTCAGTTATTCATGCAAAATTTATATACATCATGCAGGAAATTAGAATATGAGCTTTTGACATACGTAAGAGAGAACTCTTGGTTCTTCTGGGCCTCACCTTTTTGGGTTTAAATTCTAAGTAAGGTAAGCATATAGACATGTGCTTTCGTTTGTACGAGCTAACATGGCTAGATGAGTACTGTGAGCCCATTGAAGAAGCCATGCTATATAAGTTAAATCATAGTATCTAGAACAACAGTAGTGTAGTAGTTAAAATTGAGGATTTCTTGGCTTCAAGTGGCTCTGCCATTTAACTTGCATGCAGTGTTTTACATTGTGTTTCAGTTTCTTCATCTGTGAAGTAGGAATTAAAAAAAAAAAAAAAATTGCCATTGAGTTGATTCCAACTCATGGTGAGAGTAGAACTTCCCTGTAGGGTTTCCAAGGTTGGATTCTTTATGGAAGCAGACTGCCACATCTTTCTCCCATGGCACAACTGGTGAGTTGAGAACACCAACCTTTTAGTTAGTGGCTGTGAGCTATAACCACTGTGCCACAAGGGCTCCAAACTAGGAATAATATTACCTAACTCACATTCTTATAGGACCTATGGTGGCATAGTAGTTAAGGCATTTGACTACTAATCAGAAAGCCAATGGTTTGAACTCACCAGCCATTCCACAGGAGAAAGATGAGGCAGTTTGTTTTTGTAAAGATTTATAGCCTTGGAAATCCTGTGGGGGGCAGTTCTGCTCTGTCTACAGAGTCACTATGAGTCAAAATTGAGTCGATGGCAGTGTTGTTTTTTTTTTTTTTCCACATTGTTATGACTGAGGATTGAATGAGTTAATGCATGTAAAAGTCTTAGAAAAATATCTGTAAAATAGCAAATACTTAATCAACATTAGCTACTACTATTAATTGAATGTCTGTTTTCCTATTCTTTAGTTGTTGTTGTTGTTGTTGTTATGTGCCGTCGAGTCGGCCCTGACTCATAGCGACCCCTCCTTGGGTTTCCGAGGCAGTATCACTACGGAAGTAGGATTGCCCAACCTTCCTTCCGAGGAGTGGCTGGTGGGTTTGAACCACCAGCTTTCTGGTTAGCAGTCAAGTGCTTTAGCCACTACACTACCAGAACTTTAGTTATATCTTATTAAACCTGCATTATCTTAGCTTTTCTCTGGAACTTAAAGAGAAACCAGGGAAATAATAATTATAAAACAGTTTCCACAGAGAAGATTAAGAACTAGTACTGAAAGTTCCAGCTACCCGTAATTTAGGGAGAGTATTCTTTCTGATCTAATGTAGAAAACTTGCGTTTTTTTGTTTTTTTTTTTAATTAGGATTTGGGTGAAGATTTACAGAGTAAATTCACTTTTCATACAGCAGTTCACATATACTTTGTCTCATGTCATTGACCAAAATTTACAATGCAACAGCTCCCCTCCCACTTCCTCCCCATAGTTACCTCCTCCCAGTGTCCATCCCTTCATACTCTTCTGCACCCTGAGCTATCTCCCTGTGTATAAGCAGCCCTTCCTTCTCCCATGATTGCTTTCAGCACTTTTTTTGGTCTGCCAGGTCATCTCTGCCTCAGATTAGTAATCCATTGTATGTAGCACAGGGGTGTTTGTGTGATCACAGCAAGAATGTGAAGAATGCCATGTGAAGGTATTTTCAGATACAAACTCTAGATTTTTAAAGTCAATCGCAGGTGGAGGCTCATGTTTCTTGGTAAATTTCATTGCTTTACATTTGTAGCATTAGTTGTGGACAATGGTCACTCTCAGTTTAAATTATTTTAAATTATTCCATCTTTTATTTCCAGATTTAGTTAATGCCATTAATGTCTTATTTTGCTCTCAAGGTGTGCACACATACACCTGCAGCCTCTTTAGCCTCCAAAACTATCATTTTCAGCAATTTGGTTGCCATCTGACTTGAGTATGTTTGAAGGTTCTCTCCAGTCCCTCTCCTAGCCTCTGCTTTTAAACCATTTCTGATTTCCTCATACTCAGCTTTAGTTTGCTTTGGATTTGCTCCTCTCTGTGATCTCTTTTGCTATTTTGCCAGGAAACAGAACAAGTCTGTCTCCAAGAAACTTCTGGCTTCTGCATTTCTCTTCATTTTATCTCCTTTTCAGTATCCACATCTCAAAATTAAAAATTATCTGTTGCTTACTAATTATATTTTTCTTCTGGAATTTTCCATTTTAAAGCTTTAAAAATTTTAAATATTTAAGGTCTAATATTTACATTTTGCCATAAGAATTTTTATTCCAAAAATTTTTATTCCATTGTCAGAGGGTGAGATTGGAGGGTAGGGGAAAATTCTTATTTACTTCAGTCTTTTTTTGGGGGAATTAGTTATTTATTGTTTATTATTTTATTGTGGTCTTGGTGAAAGTTTACAGAGCAAATTACTTTTTCATTCAACAATTTATACACATGTTGTTTTGTAACATTTGTTGTAATCCTATCGATATAACCGTATTCTTCCTGTTTTTTCCCTGGGTTCCCTGTATTCATTCATTCTTCTTTCCTGACTTTTCCTGCCTTCTCAGCTTGGCTTTGGTGCAAATGCTGCCCTTTTGGTGTTACATGGCTAATTGTTTTAAAGATTACATTCTTCACTAGTGTTATTGCTCACTTATAGGCCTATCTGTTCTTTGGTTGTAAGGTGCTTCTTAGGACTGGGGAGAGGAGGTTCAGTTCCAGGTCTGAAGAGTGTCTAAGGGCCATAGTCTCAGGGGTTCCTCCAGCCTCTATTAGACCTGTAAATCTGGTCTTTTTTTTATGATTTTGAATTTTGTTCTATATTTTTCTTTCATTCTATCCAAGACCATCTTTGATCCATATTAGAATGGTCAGTAGTGGTAGCTGAGCACCATCTAGTTTTTCTGGTCTCAATGTAGTGAAGGCTGTGGTTCACACTTTCCATTGGTCCTTTGGATTAATTATTTCCTTAACTCTTTGATTTTCTTCACTCTTCTTTTCTCTGAGTGTGAGAGATCAAGAGTTACATCTTAGATGGCCACTCGCTAGCTTTTAAGACCACTACTCACTACAGTAAGATATTTACATCACTTTTGGGGAGGTGAAATAGTATTATCTAATATTTTTAAATTCTTAAATATTCTTAAGACATAAATATAGGAAAAAATATAGAGATGTCAGAGAAATGCTCATGGACCTTGAAACATGAAATCTGGTCTGCAGTCCTAGTTGTGCTACTTTGTAGTTAAGAATTGTTGTTGTTGTTGTTACGTGCCATCAAGTCAGCCCCAACTTATAGTGACCCCTCCTTGGGTTTCCGAGGCGGTATCACTGTGGAAGTAGATTGCCCAACCTTCCTTCCTAGGAGTGGCTGGTGGGCTTGAACTGCCAGCCCTCTGGTTAGCAGTCAAGTGCCTTAGGCACTATGCTACCAGAGCTCCTAATTAAGCATTGTTGTTTTTTGTTGTTGTTGTGTGCCATCAAGTCGGCCCCAACTCATAGCAACTCCTCCTTGGGTTTCTGAGGTAGTATCACTACAGAAGTAGATTGCCCTATCTTCCTTCCGGGGAGCAGCTGGTGGGTTTGAACTGCCAGCCTTCTGGTTAGCAGTCAAGTGCCTTAGCCACTATGCATAGCAAGGTAAAATAATTATGTTCAGTAAATCTCATTTTTATCATATTTTGAGAATCAGTTCTAATAAGATATGAAAAGTGCTTTTAAAATAAAAAATTATGGAAAATATTAATATTGTAGCCCATCCATAACTGATTACTTCATGAATCAAAATTTCTCACTCCATGTGGTAGCCAGCTCAGATTTTATTATCGTAATGTTTAGTGTGTGTAGATTATTCCTATACCTCAGAAGAAGGAAATGTGGATAAGCTCAATCGAATGGTGTATATGAGCTTTTGTGCTCTACTCTAGACTCACAGAACATGTGTTCTAAGATTCATCCATTGTTACAACTTATATGAAAGGAACCTATATGATAGGAAATCATAAATGTAAACCTTTGATCACAATTAGAAGTTGATATGTTTCTCGCCACGAAGAAAAGGTGGTTCTGGGAATTTATGTTTCATGTTTGGTATAACCAAGACTTATGTAGTGCTTACTATTCAACAGGCATTGTGACAACAGT